GTCCCACAATGAAAACCACGGACTTAAAATGTTTTTTGTTTCGCTTCATTTAAAATAACTATGGAGACAATCATCACCTTCGGACCAGAGACATATCACCTGAGAACAACGGTAGCTTTATAACTAAGTGTTACTCGTGTTGTTTCTAATTGTTTTCACTCTTCAATTGTGACTTTTCTTGCATGCAAAGTAACATATAAAATCGTGTTGTTGTGTGAGTTATATGTAAAATAAGTTGGCGACCAAAATTTACGATCTGGTGACCAAAATTTTTCCGTTACTCGCCAGCTGGCTCCCGAACGAAGAAGTTAATTTCGAGCCCTGAGGTAACAAATGTTTGCTACAAGTTCCTTCTGCAGTATGCATCATGCAAAAACAATTCCACGCAACAAATTTGCTTTTTATTTGCTTTCAGAAGCATATATACAAAATGTACAGTACTTTCTAATTGCTAAGCATACTGTCTTAATCATGGTGTCGAAAAAGAGTAATGATTATTATTCCTACTACTTTTTTTTCATTGACGATTTCATACCATGCTTCAGAATCCCTACAGAGTTTTTATAGACAACCACTCGCATACGGATACTAAAATACTTTCAGCTCGCACTTTTTGCAATGAAAGGTTTTCTTTCCAGGAATAAAACGCAGCAGAGAAAGTACTGTTCATAAAAATATATTTCAAGAAACCTTGCCAAAGTTAACCTCAAATTGTCGTCGAATGAATCCACAAGCGATGCGATAGCCATTTCTGAAGGCTAATTAAGCAATGACACCAGGCGATGACAACAATGCAAAGGAAAATTCAATTCACTGTTACTTACAGCAGATTTTCTCAGATAATCATCTTAAAGAACGTCTATGGTCTATACCTTCTGCCAAAGTTCTTTTTGCAGTCGCCATTACCAAAATCACATCATAAAAATATCATCTGAAAAATATACTGCTTTCAAATCTAATAGAATTATCTCCTTCCGTAATAAATGGAAATCTTGTGAAGAATTGTCTGTAAGTGGCGATTATTAATTCTTTTCTTTTAGTTAACTATATGGAACTACCTTGTAAGTAATTTAATTGACAAACTTACATAAAAATAATGCATACAAGTAATTTAATTAGTCGTGATAAGTAACTCTTCATTTCTGGTTAATTATGGAATATTTATCTTGTAAGTAATTTTAATAAGGACATATACAAAACTTTGTATGTAAGAAGTTTAATAAGTACACACATAAAAAAAGAAACTGTAATATAACAATAGCTTTTGAAGAAGACATTCAATAAAGGAGGGAGAAAAAAATCATGGCTGTTGTTTAGCTTCTCAAATATGTGAAAAACGAACAATTTGCTATCAAATGTTCTCCCCGATGTTAAGGGCGAAAATGAATCTTGTCTTTTAAGGCCATGAATGCAGAACAATACAGATGCATGCCTTTGGTCATTAAAGCTAAACGATCGACGACAGCAAATTGGAGGTTTCGTGGTGCACAAAAGCCTCCGACGACACACAATGCATGCTGGTCGACAGAGAGTCTGTCAAAAAAATATCCCAAATATCATGAGTAGTGTAAGTCCTGTGACTATACATGTGCAAATACTTGTTTGATATATGACTGAAAAAATGTTGAATGTGCCAACAATAATTTTTGCACCCCAGGAAATAAAAATTATTGATAAATTTGCCTGTTTTTAGCTAATCAGAATGAAGTAATTTTCTTATTTATAACAAAAAGAAGATTTTTTCCCCCAATTTGATAAGAATGTGTGCTAATCACATTATTAAATATATAGAGGATATTACGTGGCCGCACAGAGATACGAAATTTCTCTTTGGGTATTGAAGAGTACTTTACGAGTGAACGCAGCGAACATGTGAAATATTTTTCATCACAAGAAAATAAATTTTCATATCTCCAAGTGGCCATGTAATGTTCTATTTATCACATAAAAACCAATGAAATTCCAAACTATTTTACTTTTGCTTTGAAAGCTCCATTTAGCTAGTGTGTAACCACAGCAATGGTGATCTTTTCGCATGGGAAGATATTGTGTTTTCATGTGAAAGCTCACCTGTTATCTCATTGGACCAGCAAGCTTACGTGATCTTATAAGAGTAAGGTGCTCCACTTATAACCTTTAAGGGGCACCACAATACTGGACCTTCCAAAGGTAAAATCAACAACTTTCGGCTTAAGATCATGGAGATACACTGCATCGAAATTGTGGAACACTTTACCGGATGAGTCTCGAAAGATACAAATGTACACTACTTTTAAAAACATCTTAAAAACATTAGATCTCACAGGACTCTGAGTGTGAAGTGGATCTATCCGCAATCAATTTTTACTGCTTTTAATGATCATATTTTCTTATACATTTTACTTGTGACTACATTGTTAATTCTTATATTTTAATATTAGCTAGTTCTTAATCTTAATTTATTTAAATTTATGTACCTTCATAAGGCTCTTATAATTTCTTTTTTCTGTTTTTTTCATGGCGTACCTGTAAACTAGCTTTTTAGCTAAGCGTACTGACCACGTTAAATATATTGATTGATTGGTTTTTATATATAATAAACATCTTTATTTAACATCATTTATTATAAATGTGCAATTGCTTTACATTTCCGGGTAAGCAATTTTCATGTACAACACGTCAGTAATGACTTATTAAGGTCTACTTCAATCATCATATTAGGTGAATGCTGGCCTGGATAAATGTAACGCAAGTATCTTGTTGCAAGGAGATTTGTGATGGCCAATTTTCTGGAGATACACTTAACAGACTCTTCATCTCAGATGGTGTCACCAGTGATGTCACTGTTGGAAATAAAGGTGAAGTGTTCATGCCAAACACCATAGAAATGGCAGTTATCAAGAAACCCGAGAAAAAACAGTTTAAAAGTGCCCTAGCTGGCAACGGCATTCATTTTTCCTCAGAGATGTCAGAAGAAGCTGTAAAGAAAAAACTGCAGGATGAATTTGATATTTTAAAAAGCTGCAGGTAATTTTTTAAGCATTTTCTGGTTATTATTACATATATGTCTTGATTCTTTTATGTACTCTGTTAGTTGAAGACTGTGAAGGGGAATTAAGGAACTGTTAGTAGTGAAGATGGGCTCTTTCTCATTGTATATAATCCAAGTAGGAGTTCTGGTGTTAGTGTGGTCTTGCTTCAGTAAGAACCTGTCCGCAATGGCCAGCCTGAGGACAGAGGAAAACGGCTGTTATGGGGAGGTAGGGGTGTAATATGACTCCTTTTGGGGGGTGCAACATTTTCTATCTTTCAAAATGCTTATTTTAGCCTGTAAATTATACAAAACACTATCAAAGTATGTCAGTTCTATAAAACAGAAACCAAACAGAAAAAGAGACCAGTGATGCACTAAATAATGAGGTTTTGTACAGGGCTGTCATTAAGTTTTGAGTTGCCTGTACCCTTGTTCTCCACACCCGTAGCAACCTTGTTTCTTTGTGGGTGAATTCTTTAAGCAACAGGCAGTTTTACCCATCAAGGGAAAATCAAGCATACCCAGCTGTAACAGGTGTTATTATATGGCTACATCCTGCACTGTGATTGGCTACCTGAGCAGGCAAGATGGAGCTATCTTGCCCGCTCGGGACTGCCCGCCGTTTCCCACAAGAAAAATTTCCCCGAAAGCCATATAATAAATTCTTTATCGACCAAGCTTGTTCGGTCAAGATGGCTGGATATTGGCCTCATTCTTTATTTGCGAGTTTATGGACCTCGACTCCATCTCGGACCAAAAACACGCAAAAAAAAGAACTTGGCCAATATCCAGCCATCTTGATCTCACACTTGGTCAATGACCCATTCTTATAGGTTATGACTTAATATACCATTCATCAGTACGTTATTGGTTAACTGGCTGTTGTCGAAAGGTTATTTTTGGCAGTTGGGGCATGCTTTAGGGACCATTGCCGTTGTGGAGAGGGTAAAATAAACGTGAATGTGTGGGCTGTCTACCGGGATATAAAAAGTGACTGTGGTCATTGTAGAGAGGTAGCCGTTAGTGGAGGTTAGACTGTATTAGACACTGATGAACGCGTTATGCTGGATTTGCGGTCATGACTGATGGATGACAAGGCGTAATCTTTCAACTATTGGAATTTTACTATAGCCAAAGCTGGTCTAGTCGTATCTTTCTTTTGTTTTCTTCTTTGAATTCACAAATGAGAATAATACACAACGTATTGGTAATTTAGAACTAGCTCTCAGTCAGATTTTCCTTTGAAGTGCAAGCAACAATTTGACTGGACAAAGCCACTTTTTGACTGGACATTGTCTGTTGACTGGCCATTATTTCAAACCCTGCAGTGCTGTGATCAGATCAGATAACTGTCAGTAGCGAAATTGTTTATATTAAAAATGGCTGTTATTGTTCAACTTAATCATGGATTTCTTTTTAAATGTAAATCTTCAGATTTTGCTGTGCCTCAGCAGCTGACAATCGAACAAGGTTAAACTTCCATGGTGAACAACGAGTATGGGATGGACAATGTATAATGAGGAATGTCAAAGGAAATTCCGCTTTGTATCTTCTTATAGAGCATGAGGTTTGTAGTCACATATTTGCTTAGAGTGGTTTTCAATTAAGTGTCGTAAAACCAAAACCAAACCAATCAATTACCAATTAGACTACTTAGCCAATCTCAAACTTTAGTAAAACCAGAACCAAAAGCGAAGTAATTGTCTATTAACTTTAGACACTCATTGAAAACCACTCTAATTGGGGGCTAGGAAATATGGTACCTTTGATACCTTATAGACAGCCTTATGTGTGGACACACACAAAGAGGATTAAGTTAAGTAAGTTAAGCTGATACCTTATAGTGTTAGGATAAGGATACATGTACAATGTACAGCAGTCCTATAGTTTTTCTTAATAAATACAGTCAACTCCGGATAACTTGAACCCTTGCTAACTCGAACCTTGCGCTAACTCAAACCAAAATCGATTTCCTCTGGATTTCCGTCATACATTTATTGTAATTTTGCCCTCGGTAACTCGAACCCTCGATAACTCGAACCTCCCACTAACTCAAAGCAATTTTCGTTTCCCTTCAAGTCATTTTCTATATAATTTTACCCTTGATAACTCAAACCATGTCTGTCAATGCATGACAAGTTAAAACAAACAGTGTACTGAAGTCCAAAACATTAGATTTATTTTGAAGCAGCCGTTTGAAAAGAGCCGCACAGTTTATAGTTCCTGGACTTATCCCTGTTGGTTTCCTTTGTTATGTTTTTCACATTTACTTTTTGTTCCGATTTATACAGTAATTTAGAGATGTGTTGTTTTAATTTCACTTGACTTCTCTATTCTGTAATTAAATGTGATTAAAATGTACACTGCATGAATCAGAAAAACATTCAACACCGTATTTTCCTTATTTCTGGTCATTTGTTCTCAACTCCTGATAACTCGAACTCCCGATAACTCAAACCTTTTTCAATTTCCCTTGAAGGTTCAAGTTATTGGGACATGTGATTTAAGCTTTGCAAGCCTAATTGGTAGTAAAAATTATTTGTGTAAAATCTCAGAATTTTTTAATGTAATGTTTACTGGGAAGAACTTTAATCCTCAAGAATTCCCAGAGTTCTGAATTTAAAAATGCCCAAAAATTCCTTTGCACCTCCCTGTTACTTCAAATCTGAGTGCCCCTGGGGTAGGGCTGTCATTCAGTTTTTAGTCACCTATACCCTTGTTCTCCACACCCATAGCAAATGTTTTTCCTTTGTGGGTGAATTCTCTCAAGAACAGACAATTTCATTGGTAGCATTAAGAGAAAATCAAGCATTCTCAGCCATAACAGGTGTTATGGGTCATCGCCCTTAAGGTGGCCGAACACAGTTTTCAAGAGCCTATGCCTAATTCACCATTACTTTTAGGCTATTTATGCTTTGGCGCCCGTTTTTTGCAGGCGTCAAGGTTAACCACAGAAGGGTTTATTATCGCATTTTGGCTAAGGTGTGTGCTGTTGCCATGGCAATGGGGCTGGTTAAAAACAAGGCTTAAAAAATGGTTTTTGTTTATTTAAAAAAAATCCAGTCATTAGACTTTTTTCATTTTTTGCCCACTACGAATTGACATTAAATCCCTTCTGTCAACACTGTTCTAATAAAATTTTGACATAGGCGATTTTCGTAATTCG